TGCAGCCCGTGCCCCTCCCAGCCTTGCGGGTGCCCCTGAGCAAGGATGCTGAATGGGAAGAAAACTCTTGCCTTGAACTGGAGTAAAGGCAGTAAATCGAAAACCTCCAGGTGCTGTGACAAAGGGCCTTTGGGACGCCTGCAAACTAGATGAACGCACCAAGTATTTTATTCTATAACATCAAGACGTGGGTTATGGGCAGAGGGGGCAGTACTCACCGAGGGGGTGGGGGGGCAGAGGTGCTGAGACTCACATGGGGGGCAAGGTGAGTGGGACTTATGGAGGACATGGCTGGCAGGGCTAATTTGTGGGGGCCGTATGAGGCCAAAGTGTCTAGGGCTGTGGTGCAAGGAGGTGGCTAGGGCTGTGCTTTGTTCTCCACCAGTGGCAGGAGGGGCCGAGTGCTCTTCACACCAGTGCGCAGGTTTTGCCAAGCTCTGTTACAGCAGCATTGTACATGCGAGTGTTTCCACTCTCCCTGGCCTTGGGGGTGACTTGTTCAGTAAACTTGGTCTCACAGCATCTTTGCTGAACTATCTGCATCCTGCATTGTCACCTGTGGCCCTCAGACCGCTGTGCTACGGTGGATCTTCCCTGGCATTGATTTGGACTCTTCAGTGGATGAAGGCACAGCCAGGGTCACAGTCACGCTGCGATCAGACTTTGTGTGCAGGATGTCTTTCAGGTGGCCGTGCCTGGTCAGGACTAATTGTAATTAGTGCCAATGCCTTGATCTTGGGTGTTTCCACCACGTCTTCCTTGTGATTCTCCAGTGAAGCAGGTCTGACAGCAGGTAGGGGAGGGCCGGCTCTTCTTCCCTGCAGCAAAGCCTGGCACGGGGCTGCAGGAAGGAGGAAGCCTGCAGTGCAAAGGCAGCAATGGGGCAGAGGGGCGATGCCAGCAGTGCTGGGGGGTGTTACCATTCGCACGGGTGCAGGATCCGCAGCCTTTGCTCCTTTTCCCACCTTTCGCTCCTCTCTGCCTGGCTCTGGGCTCGCTTGCACGCACAGACCGCAAGAACTCGTCCCACCTGCAGCACCAGTGAAAGCATCTCACTCAGGCTCTGGTGGCGGGGTCATCTTCCAGCAGCCCCGAGCCCTGGTCAAGACAGGCAGCTGGAGGAAGGGCGGGAGAACAGGACCCCCAGCCCAGCTGCAGAAGAGGGGCTGAGGCTGAGGCATCTTGGAGTGAATGACCCTCCCCAGGCCGGAGCTGTCACTCGGCTCTTACAGAGCAGCAGAGGAGAGTGGCAGCTCCCCCCACCCCATGTGCCAGGGGCTCAAGGCTGAGATGGAGGGCGCTTGGGCTGTGGAGGAGCGAAGTGCCCAGCCGGAAAGGCCCGTCAGGAGGGAAAGTGCTGATGCACGTGGCAGCGCTTGGAGACTCGGGGGCGAGGAGGGGACCAAGCACTCTCAGTATCTGATGCATCCTCTCAAGAAGCCAGCCCTGGGGCTCTCCCGCCTGCGCGGGTCCTGCTGGAACAGGAGCCTTCCAGCAGCCTTCAGCCTTGCTCACAGCTGGGCTCTTGAGCCTTCCCAGCTACAGGAAAGGCTGTGAGGGCCTTGGGGACCACAGGGATGGGCAGCAGCATGGCCAGGGCAGGTGGGGGCTGATTTTGGGGGCTGAATGCCCCAGGCAGCCTGGCATGCAGGCACCTGTGCAGCAGCAGCCCCCAGAGGGAGGGGAGCCTGAGCCACAGCACCAGGAACTGGGCTTTTCTGAGTCTCAGTGAAGAGATTTCCCCCCTTGGCCCCTCTTACCTCCAGCACGAGTGCACTCTCTGCACCACAGCACCAGCTCTGCCCGGGGCGCCATCGTGCCCAGTTTTGCTTCATCTGAGAGTGGCCCTGTGAGCAGGTAGGGAGCTGGTGAGAAAGCAACCCAGTGAGAGGAGCAGGCCCATCTCCCTCCCTGGGTCTGGCACTTCCGCGTTGCCCATCACAACACCGGACTTGAAAGCAAAGGAAACCCCAGCAAGCCCCTGTCCCAGTCCTTGGATGCTCTTGAGAGTTTGGCCCAAGGTCACATCTCAGCATGGCAGCTGAGATGCTGTGGGAAACTTTCTCCTTTCTCTCATCTCACCAGAAGTCTCTTTCTCAGCTCTCACAAGAAAGGTCGATGCTGTCTCCCGGGGGGAACCTTCTCTGCATACGCGCAATTGTTTCATAGTGCTTAGAGTTGGAAGGGACCTAAACAGATCATCAGGTCCGACTCCCTGCCCCAGGCAGGAACGGGTGCTGTGGTCATATCACCCCAGCAAATCATATCACCCCAGCTGCAAGGTTGGGACACAGAAAACAAGAGACCCAACCTCCTCCACCTCTGCAAGGGAATCTCACCTTCCACGGCTGGTGGATTGCTGAGGAGCCTTCTCCAGTAAGCGGAGCCCAGGATCCCCAGGTGCTTTGCCGGCAAGAGACAGCCGGGGCAGCAGTTGCATCTTGAGAAGAGTCTCTGGAAGGAAGAAACAAGAAGAAAAGTGTCAAGAACAGCACCTCTGTGCCAAGTCCGGGAAGAAAAGTGCCTGGGAAGCGCAGTGCAGGCCACGCAGCCCAACAGCAGGTCTCCAGAACAGGACTTGGAGGATGGAAGGCATGGATCCGGGTCTCTTGGGCAACCAGTGATTCTGCATGGTTTAGTGCCCGTCTGACATCATGAACACATGGGCCTTGTCCAGCTCCTCCTTTCTCCAGGACAGCCTTTGACCCTAGGCCCATTTTTCCCCTGCTTTCCCATGTGCCAGTGCCTGGGACCATTGGTCCCTGTGGGAGTCTGCAGGCTGGCCCCTACAGCCAATGGTTAGACATCATTTCTTGAGGCTGGGCTTGATCCTCAGCTTGTCTGAACGGTGCAGCTCTGGGATCCAGCCCATGAGGTTTTCCCTTACAAAAATGATCTGGGCTGCCATGAGCACAGTCAGTTGTGAGGGGTGGAAGCAAGGGCTTGGGAGCTGGAGGTAAGATGGTCTACAGAAATGCAGGGATCTTCAGTTCTGCTGAGCACAGGAGACTCCCACTGAGCCTGCAGAGCAGCAGCTCCCCAGCACCTCCACAGCAGCCCCTGCAGCTCATCCCTGGCACCTACAAGCCAGTTATTGGTCCCTGACTTTCTCCTGCTTAGGCTGCCTCCTTCCCTGCATTTGGATGTCGACAGGCTGGTCTGATCCCACCACCGTCTATGAGGACAACAGCATGTAGACGGCAGGTCTTGGACCTGCGCCTGCAGGGAAGTTTTCATCTCTGTAGTATCAGCTAAGGGCTGAATGTCAGATGCCTGGTCCCTTTGGTGAATTGGCACAAGGGAGCATTTTCCCATAAGAGCAAGCCAAGACTGCATCTGCTGACCCCCCTTCAATACAGAACTGTGCTTCCACATTACCTCTATTCCTGGGAAAAGACTGGAACAAGTCATCAAGGAGCGCATTTGTGAAGGCCCAGCAGGGAAAATGATGCTGAAGGGAAACCGGCACAGGTTCGTCACAGGCAGATCCTGCCTGGCAAACCTTACAGCCTTTTATGACCAGGTCACACGCTGCCTCAACACAGGAACTGAGGCTGATGTCATCTACCTGCATTTTGGGAAGCCTTTGACATAGTTTCACATCCTATTCTCATAGGGAAGCTAATGGGCTGCGGAGTGGACACCTACACAGTCAGATGGGTGGCCAGCTGGCTCAGGGACCGCACCAGAGAGTGGTGGTGGCTGGGTCATTCTTGGCCTGGAAGGAGGTGGGCAGTGGGGTCCCACAGGGGTTGGTCCTTGGACCAGTGTTATTTAATAGCTTCATCAGCGATTTGGATGAGGATGTGGAGAGCGCCCTGTCCAAGTTCACAGATGACACCAAGTTATGGGGCAAAGTTAACACACCGGAGGGCAGGGAGCGGATACATGCCAACCTGGACAGGTTGGATCAATGTGTGGAACGAAATAGGATGCAATTCAACAAAGATAAAATGTAAGGTACTCCCCCTAGGAAGGAGAAATCCCCAGCACACCTGCAGGTTGGGGGGATGACCTCCCTCAGCAGCTCAGAGGCTGAGAGAGATCTCAGAGTCATAGTTGACTCCAAGACGGACAGGAACCGGCAGTGTAACAAGGCCATCAACAAGGCCAATTGCACCTTGGCAGATGCACAACCAACAGATTGAGGGAAGTGATCCTCCCCCTCTATGTGGCACTGTTCGGGCTGCAGGTGGAGTACTGCATCAAGAGGGACGCAGAGAATCTGGAGAGGGTCCAGAGGAGGGCCACTCACATGATTAGTGGCCTCCATGAAAGACTCCCAGCTGGATTTGAATGTGCCGTTCAGTGGCTCGGACAGGAGGGTCCCTTCTCATTTCTTCTCTCACTCGGACAGGCAGATGCCCACGGCCTCCAGCCACTGCACATTTCGGCACTGCCCAAATACAGGATCTCATCTGCTGGCCCCCCGTCGTGCTTCTCCAGCTGCTCCAGCCCAGAGAGGGGAAAACAAGCCCTGTTCTCTCTTGCCGGCTGGGGAGTGTTTGCCCGGTCCTATGCTCCTGGGCCGAAAATGAACTGGATGACAAAGCCTCAGTGGAAACATTTCTGCTGCTCTGAAGCTGTAGAAAGCCTTGCGCTCTGCACAGCATGGCAGAGATGCTTCTGCTCAGTGACTCCCTCCAGCAGCACCGACGTCTGGGTATAAGGGGAGCTGCGAGGTCCCTGCGCTCTTCAGCCATCGACCCCTGCAAAGGGCCCTGCACGCAGGAACCTCCAGCTGCAGCCATGCAAGTGGCACAGCTGCAGGGACAGCTCTGCTGGAAGTCCTCCCCGGTCACGTGCAAGACAGCTGCAGAGCCGGGGGTGCAGCCTGGAGCTCTCCTTGGGACAGGTGGCAAAGGGGACAGTCCTGCCCCGGGGACAGTCACACTTAGGCCTTAGGGCAGGGGTGGGCAATTATCTCGGCTGGAGGGCCGCTGAACAACCTTGGGGAGCTGTCAAGGGCCACCAGGGTCGGCCCGCCACTTGGCAGGTGCCTGGCCTGCTGCCACGCACCTTTGCACCACACTGCGCTGGCTCCACAGCAGCACGAGGGGCTCCTGGCCCTGCAGGCGGGAGCTACGTGCTATCGGGCCTGGCCGGGCCAGCTCTGCTCCTCTACGCGGGGCGTTCAGCACCGCAGCAGGGACCTGGATGTGGCGGCTGTAGGAGGGCGCGTGCCAGTGGGCCGGGTCGGCTCCGTGCTGCCGCGTGCAGCTCCCAGGACTCAGCCAGAGCCATGTGCTGCCGGATGTGGGCCATGAGCGCCCTGGGGGCCCGCTGCTGACTCCTACTGTGTGGGGGGGTGACTTTTACCCACCAACCCCACCCACAAACCCACTACCACAGGCCCACGCCCCCCTCCCACAGACAAGAGCCCCCTCCCCGCTCAGCAGCTGCCCGGTCTCACACCGTCGCACCTCCACGTGGGCTCCGAGGTGCGGCGTAGGGAGCCCTGCGGAGGCGGGGCAGAGCCCGCCCAGGGCAATGGGTGACCCGACAGCCCATCTCCCACCGGCTCCAGCCCAGCACCAGCACTGGAGACCCCGAGTACCCAAACCCCACCCTGGAGCCGGCAAGGACCCTGGAGACCTTCCAGCCTGGCAGGGACTCTGGAATACCCCCCTCACACAGGCACCCGGGAGACCCCACACGCCCCCCCAGGTGCCCCCAGCCTGGCAGAGCCCCCACAGACCACCCCGCCTAGCAGGGCCCATCAGCGGCTGAGAGCGATGCCCCGCGTGTGCGCATAGGAGGGTCTGGTTGCCATAGAACCGCACATCCTAGGCACCAGCCACCATTTCCGCTAATGGGGGTTCAACATCCGGGCACCCGCTGCAGCCCGGCCGCCATCTTGCCCAGTCATATCAACATCCGGGTAGTCCTGCCCGCCCCCCGGTGACCCGCCTCCGCCGCCATCTTGAGCTCGGGCATTTCCACCTCCAGCATCTGGCGACCAGCCCCACCCCTTTTCCACCCCAGCGCATTGTGGGAAAAAGACTCGTGCCCGAGAGAGGAGGAATACAGCCTTTATTGAACAGCACAAGGGGGAGGAACCAGAGGCGACCCCGCCCCAGGTGCCTCGAGGGGCGGGGCTTCGGAGGGCTCCTCCCCAGGTGTCTTGGGGCGGGGCCCTAGATGGCTCCGCCCTCGGGGCCAGGGGGAGGCCTGATAGCTCCGCCCCTCCGCTGCCCCCCTCCCCCCCCAGGGGGCAGGTTCAGAGGTGGCTCCGCCTCCAGTGCGCATGACGGTGGGGCCTGAGATGGCTCGCTCCCCCGCTGGCCCAAGGGGGTGGGATCAGAGGAGGGTCCGCCTCCAGCTTGGTCGGGGTCAGGGGTCACAAGAGCCGGGCACCCACCTCCTGGTAGAGTGTCACCACCCCCTTGGCCGAGGGGCAGAGCTCGGCCCACAGCCCCGTGGGGCCCGACAGCTCCTGTGGGGGGGTCGGGGGTCAGTGTGGGGAGCCCGGACGCCTGGGTCCCGTGCCCCCCCCCACCCCCGGAATGTCCTAGCTGGGCAGAGCAGGTGGTGCTGGGAGCCCTGACCCCTGGCTCCCCTCCTCCCCGGAGGAGCCCAGGGCGCAGCGATGGAGCCAGTGGGACCGGACACCTGGGTCCCTCCCTGTTCTGGGAGCAGCTGGGGAACGGGACCCTGGGAGGGGAGTGGGACGGGGGTCCAGGAGCCACTGCCCCCCACCTCTGCCTTGATGAACACGATGGCCGTGGACTCGTGGGCCTCCGCGCCCCCGATCTCGTACTGCTGCCTCGTCTCCTCCGCGGTCAGACTGCACCTGGGGGGGCAGCCACAGGGCCCTCAGCACAGCAGGGCCCAGACCTCCAGTTGTCCCCCAGCTCTGGGAGGGGAGGGGAGTGGGGCTGGGAGCCCGGACCCCCGGGTTCTCTTCCAAAATCTCCCCCCTGACCCATCTGAGGAGCATGTACAGCACCCAACACCCTTGTCTGGTAGGTCTGGACACTGCCCAGTGGTTCCCAGTCCCAGACTGGGAGGCCTGTACAGCACCCCCCGATCTCGGCCTGTGGGTGGTCTATGCAGTGTCTGGCGCATCCCAGTCCCGGCCTGGGGAATACGTACAGTGTCTGCACAGTCCCAGCCCAGGGGTCTGTCCAGCGCCTGGCGCCCCCACGGATGGGTCTGTACCTGACAAAGAAGGCGGCTGTGGCCCGTCCGGCCGTGGTCTCATTTCTCACCAGCCCCAGCAGCCGGGGAGGGCTCAGGGTCTCGGGGGACAGGTTGACCTGTGTGGGAGGGGGTGCGGGGATAAGTAAGGGGGCAGATGCAGAGTCCCCCCTCCTTGGCCCTCCCCCATCAATCACTGACCTCATCGCGGATCTCCTTGATGACGGAGGTGAAGATCTCCTCAACGACCAGGTCGGGGGGCAGGTCCTCGCACCGGAGAGAGGCGGTGGGGACCCCCCTGGCGATGGCCTGTGGGGGGTACAGGTAGGGCTCAGCCTCGTGCCCAGCTCTGGTGGGGCAGGGGCGGACACCTGGGTTCTCTAGTCCGGCGAGCCTCGAGGCTTTGGAGCAGGGAACCAACCCTAGGCCGGACACCTGGGCTCACTGGGACAGGACAGAGGCGCTGAGCCTGGAGGGGCTCTGTGTGGGGCACCCGGGGTCCCTGGCTGGGAAGCGGGGCCGGTTCCCCCCCGGACACCCGGCTTCCCGGCACCCACCTGCGGCTCGGGGTGCCCACCAGGCACATCCAACTTCCCGGGGGCCTCGGCCACGTGGGGGCTGCGGCGCAGCAGCACCAGGCGCCCGTCGGCAGTAGCCAGCAGAGCCCCCACGCCCAGGGGGTCGGCCAGGAAAGCCTGGGGGTCCCCGCGGCCCCAGCCCCGCGCCCGCAGCCGCGGCCCCCGCGCCGCCAGGTTGGTGCCCACGAA